TAAACGAATTCCGATCCACCGAAAGAAGTCTCCTGGTCCGATAGAACAGATCGAATTCGTCGATAAGTTGATGTTGGTCAGTCGAAGACTTTCATGTAGAGCGCTCATGGGGTACATTAGGTAGAAATATTTTACTAGCGTCGGCTCTCCAAGCTGTAAGTACGGCGGCCACATAAAATTTGATGCCCGAGACAAAAATTGACTTGCAGGATCTACCAAGATTACGCTTGCTTTTACCACATACCAAATTTCCACCAGCAGTTTTGGCATCTTCCCTTGGTCAAATTGAGCTCAGAAAAAAACGGGGCTACTCGCTCTTTGGACATGAGCGCTGTCCGTTTCGGTTGCTAGAAGAGCTACACTTTATTTTTGAAGTTGAGGTCGTTTGTTCCAGAAGTCATGAAATGGCGCAAACTACGGACGTACATGTTGGTTCGCGCACAGTGTCAATGGCAAACCGATTCCTCGCGCACATCGAAGCACTTCAAGGCGCACTGACGGCTTCTGTAGAAACAGTCTATCAGTGCATTAAAAAATTGCGCGATGAATTTGCGCCCGAGAGCCCACAGCCTGGTTGACTCAGACCTATGCAGCCAGACCCTGAGCCCTTGCAATCCCTTGGATATCAGTATGTACGGGATGTCGCCACTACCAAGAAAAGTAGGTGGGTTCACAAAGGCGTAAATTATCGAGATTATTAACATTCTCGTCACAAGAAAGCGGAAATGCCATGACAAGTACTCCGACAGCTAGTAAGCGGCTCGGAGGTTATAGCATACCTCCTGTCAATCCCGATCTGACACTAGTAGGGTTTAGTTTGAAACATAACGCTAAACACGTAGCAACTAGTAATCTCCCAAGTTCCTTTCCTAGCAGCGATGCGGAGAGAAGCTCTAACAAGTCTTAATACTGTTAAATAATCGATCTCCGCTGTAAACAGGCTCGTATACGTGGAAAATGTGAAGCATAAGTATCAGTTTGATTTGGTTGGGTCCTGCAATCGAAAAATAACTTGGTGAAGCCTGAGGAAGTGGAATGAGGTAGTATCGCATCCACGCACGACATACGTTAGGAGAAACTATACGAATTTGATTTTTCGGAGGACAAATGCACACTTTGAGATAAACTTAGTTCATTGAATATCAAATAAACTAAAAGCTCAAAACAGAAAAACGCATACATTATTAGGAAACGCCAAGTCGGCCTCTACCTCAACCGTAGCGCAAATACGTCATGTTCAGTTGAGGGCAACCTGCGTTGTCAATCACGGCGACAATTTTCCTCCTGCACTTACGACGGCTTACCAACATGTCCCTACCTCTGCGGGCGACGTACACACTCTCACTTAGAGCGACGAACTCGTGTATACACGAGCCGAACGTGAACCAATATCCACAACGACACGACTCCTACTCCATGGCCACCCAGTTCATGGCTGCCCTTCCACCCACATGCGGCGCACCAGCATTCGATCCGAAACTACCCCTTACTCGAACGTGCGCACGCTACTATGTTGGTTCTGGTAAGAGGCGGCCAGCTCATCGAGCAGAGAGCCAATCTTCCAACCCCTTCGTAAAGTGTAATTGCGTCTTCAAAACTGCATTGAAAGTCTGCGCCGGGTTGTTCGTTGTCACGAATCCGCTGGGAGTGAAGAAGGACTGCTAGCTCGTGAATAGGCCATTGACCACACTTGTACGTTGCTAAAGTGATTCACCAGTGTCCCTCAGTTTTAAATAGGCTGCATGTGACCTTGCACAGTGTATGTCGTATCTATATCACGTAAAATAGAAGCATATACACTCGAGGAAAAAAATTGATGTGTTCTTGCATCTTTTTCATGACGTTGAAGTAGCACATCGAGAAAATAAAGGCCGGGTACTCTCCAAACAGAGGATTGGCATTTATCGCCGTCGGTCATCGCGTCGTTCACCGTCAAGTGATTTTGTGTGACCCAGTAGCACAGCCTACGCAGTACCAGCAGAGCTGCTCCGATATCGATTTGCGCCGAAGCAAGAGAGCTTCTACAAGAAATCT